GGGCTATACAACAGAAGATGAAAAACTATCTAAACTCAAAGAGGCAAAGAAATATGCCAAATGATGTATTGCATCAAATCAATCATTAGAATTTAGTTAGACTATTTTAGATGCTGCACCATTCCAAAATTTGAATGAAGCTTTATTAGAGATTGAGGCAGCACATGATTAGTTGTTTGTAAAATATGACTAAGTTAATGTTTTTTTAGTTATGAAATTTGATATACTTGTGTTATCAACTTTGTAGCATCTATCGTACAAACAAGAATGAAAAAAAAGAAGTAATTAAATCAAAAACTTTTTCGTAGACCTATTAAATTTTACATTATTATTACAGGAAGTTTGTTTCATAACAGAAACTAGATATTACAACAGGAAGCTTTGTTTCAAAAGATAGACTACATATTATAATAAGAAGCCTTATTTGAAAAGTCATTCTTTGATGTATACACACAAACAAAAGCAAGGCAAATTCTTCTAAAGCTTCAATGAAATTCTTGTAAAGCTTCGGTTAAACGGGAGGAGGAACTGTTCCAAGTGAATAAGATATGTATATGCTTCTTCATGAAAACCATAATTGTCTCTAGAAACTCAAATCTAAGCAGCCATCAGGTACCGCTGGTCTTCCGAAGGTGGTGGAGGACATGCAATTGCTATTGCATCAGAAGAGCCCCACATATCTGTTTTGTGTTCATCCCAATGTGAACAAATGTTCTGTTGTCACCCAATTATCTCAACAGCAGTCTCTCAACAAATGAACTCTACACTCTGTTCCTCCTATAACGAGAATCAATCCATTAAAAGCTGCAAATTAACATCATCACATTCCATAACTTGTAACTAAATAATTAACCTGTATAGTTTGATATAAAGAGTTTTACTGAACTATACCATCTCGCAGTACCCCACCTAAATGACAATCCTGCTTAAATCCAACCTCACAAAGCTAAGATAATCTTCATTGATCCAATCAAACTTATCCTTGAAAGGGTTACTAAGGTTCTCTGGAGGGTAACTTTCTATGCAATCCTTCCACACATTGGTATCAGACAAGTCCTTCATCACCTCCCAAACACAGTTGTTGCACTTGAACCCAGCTCCAAGGCTAATCATCAGGATCCTATCACCCTTCTTCAGCCTCTTCTTCGCCTCCATGTAACCCAAAACGTACCAAAGACCACCAGCAGAAGTGTTCCCCCATCGGTGAAGTGCCATCCTCGCAGGTTCTAGGTCATATTCAGTAAGCCTAAAACCCTTTCCAACCCCATCAATAACTGCCCTCCCTCCAGGATGCACACAAAAGTGCTCTATTCCTTTCTTGAAATTCAACTCCCCTCCCAACAGATTCACTTTTGTCTTCTTTAACTTGTTCTTGCCAAGAACCAGCCCAGTGAAAAAGGGTATCATTTCCCTTTTCTTCATCCCACTGTACCTTACAGAGACAAAAAGGAACCTTACTATTTCCCACACTGGCAGAATCTTGGGTGCCATCGCTTGAAGGTTCATCGTCAAGGCTTGAGCGGCAATCTTGACAAGACTCTTGCTGAGGCGAAAACCCGAGTACCCCTGCTCATCTTCCACCTGCATGCAGCAGTTGTAAGCCTCATCATCAGCACCGTACTGGGTCCTCTCCATGTGTTTCAGTTTCAATATTGCACGGTCCTTCAGAGAAGGCTTGTTTGTAAACATCAAAGAGCAGCCGCCAGAGCGAAAGAGGCAGTTAGAAAGCATCATTTTCTTGTCCGTTCCACAGTACCAATGTGCACCAAGATCCTCAGTGCTCACAACAATCCCGACAGAGTTCTTGTAAGTCTTGAAGAGTTGCTGCACCACTTCAATAGCGACGACACTTGCACTACACCCCATTCCTGCAAGATTGAAAGCCTTGACGTTTTCTCTCATTTTGTACCTGTTTATGATACGTGCTGCCAGAGAAGGTGCGGAAGAGAACAAGGACACGTTGACTACGAGGATGTCTATCTGGGAGGGTGAAATAGCCGTCTTCTTGAAGAGGTTGTCGAGTGTGTCGAACATGATCTCGTCTATTTCCTCGTACGTGTCCTTAAGAGACGGACACTCTTCTCTCCCTTCAAGAATGGTCCTGGGGCCGTAAGTGTTCTCTCCAATCCCCGAACTGACAATGGTTTTGAGGAGAAACCTCAACTCCTCCAACCTCAGTTTTGTGTTTCGTAGGACAATCTTTGTGGCGGAGACCGTGTTGAGTTTGTTGTCTTCTGGAGGCATAAAGCACTCGTAGGCCAACATGTAACATGCTTGGCTTCTACGTTGAAGAATCAACTTGAAAAGGGAAAAGAAAGTGTAGAATAAGAAGGGAAGGAGGCATAAGAACAAAACATCCATCTTTAGGTATATCATAGAAGCTAGAGATATGGGGATGAGTGCAAATGCATGAGCATATATATACACATAGGCAGTTATGCAATGTTAACAAGCTAAGATGAGCTTCACTTTTCAAGATTCCACTTTTAACTTCAAATAACATTGAATTGTAATATATAAATATATAAATTGGATGCATTTATATACTATTAATAAATTTTATTTAATTAGCGATAAACTCTCATTACTTTTAGGAACTAGGGAGTTTGATTGAGTTTGTCATAATAAACCCACTTACTAAATTCATTCACTTTGTCAAGTTGCGTGAGAAGGGAGGAAATAAACAAATAAATAATCTGGCTTGTGACTGATCTCCGATCTTTTCAGTTTACTTTCATTTGACACAGCGAAATTTCTAACCCTTCTTCGACCACTTATGATCTATATGTCGGATAAAAATGAAAAGTAATTTACACATTTATATTCATATTCATTTATATTATAAGAATAAAATAATTTTAAAAGAGTAAATTTATATTTTAAAATATAAAATAAATTGAGATATATTAATTTTAAATAGTCTTAAGTAGGTATAAGAAAATGAAAATATGTATTTTCATAATTTATGTTTTTAAAATAAAGAGTAACCTTTGTTCAAAGTCACACTTTGACTAGAGTGATAATTCACAATATAGAGTGGACGCGAATTTCATATTATACTAGCTACTGTGAGAAACCATACATCAACAATGTTTATTCCTTTGTTATTACAGCAGCAGCAGATGAAACATATATTGCAAGGGAAGTAAAACGTAACCATCAGATATTGATTGAATGATATGTAGGCAGATGATAGTTCATAACTTGCCCATGTTCCTCTCAAGACATTGTTATAACAATAGTGTGCGATCGTTAGGATCAGAGAAAGGAAGGAATTGGCTGAAAAGATATACAAGATGATTTAAAAGGATAAACATGATGAATTATTTTACCTTCAGTTGCTGAAAGGAACCCTACAAATAGCAGCTAAATCTTAAAAATGGAATGCTAATCGTAGTCATGATTATAAAGTTGCATTACAACACGATACGCATGCCTTTGAAATCAAATCTGAGCTATATAAGGATTAATTATTTGATAGCCAAGAGACAAATTGTGACATGTTATACTAAGACACGTCTATACACCTCTTTCATACTTCAATTGTTAATTTATGGTAAAAGAAATATAAGAAATCAATTAATGTGAATTGTTACTGCTAGCTAGTTATACCTAATTTTTGTAATAAATTATGTATGTAAATGTATAAAGTTTATTACATTTAAGAGAATGTTACGTTACGGACATGGTAACTAATAAAGAGACAAATTAAAAGTGTAACTAATATATTTAGATCTTTATACCGCACCTAAATTTTATGATCAGTGAGTCTATATTAATTCATAACAATGGGTTGTAGAAAATGACACATGACAGGGCAAAATGAAAATTATTTGTCTATAGCAATCATATACTGACAATTTAAGTTTCCTTTCTCATTTATTTGCGCGTTTAATTATTTTGGTAGGATGGGTTTAGAAATCGAAATCAGAAAAAGGACAGTTACTTAACATATCACCAACATAAAATAAAAATGAAGGAAGAATTAGTTGGAAATATCACAGTAAGGCCTTGTTCACTTCTATGGACAATTGTTTGTGCAGATGGATTGTTGATTAATTTCTATTCGTTTGGGTTGATCTGTGAAGACTGAATTGTACTGATTTGCGAGATATCCTTATTTTATCCATCTCGTTATGTTGTTTGGATTTGCATTGAATTGCAATGAAATATCATGTCCCAAACTCTTTGTAAAATACCACGATAATATTAACGTTATTCGAGTGTTTCAAACTCAAGAAGACGAAGAAAAATGAAATTTAACTTCGGTTCCAAAAATGAACGTATTTGGTTCCAAGCTTCTAAACAAAAACAAAGGAACTCGTATTTGGTTCCAATGTCCCTATATTTAGTTCCTCCATTATGCAGGAAGTCTTTCAACCCATTTATTCGGCTCCAATGTGTGAATCTCATCGTTCGACTTTCATTTTCGTATTGTTTTTTAATATATTCATTTCTAACATTTCAACTTGTACATATTTTGTCCACTTTTATGTCTATGTAATTCATTACTGAATCATTATTGTTTTTTCTCCTGTAGAGCAAGCATCTGTCTCCTCCTATGCTCATCAATTTTGTTCTCTTATTTTATTTTACTAAATTATAAACTTTTAAAATTAATTTTAATAATTAATTTTAATTTTTTTATAAACATTTTTACAATTAAATATAACATTAAAAATTATAATTTTATATTACTTTAATAACTAGAGACATTTTGATAATCTTCAACTTTTACCCATTAAACACATTTTTTATTTATTACATCAATCAAATCCTACACTAATTTTCACATACTTTACTTTCAAATCTACTCTCAGTTACTCACAAATTCACTCAAAAAAACAATAAAAATATTATCCTCAAATTCCCTTAAATGCATTTAATTGCTCTCCTGAGTTATCTCCCCCAGGTCACCTAACATGAACACACCCTAAGCGACGGCCATGCAGAAATTTAGGTTACGGCGGGCAAGTCAGAAACACCAGTTCTGAACAACATTAATGACATCAAACTTTATTTCATCCATAGCACAACAATAGTACGTGCTTGTCATCAAGTTTCTCTCAACAAATCAACTCTACACTTGCTCTTCCTCTGACTTATTATCTGGATCTTTGTGTTTAAACATGAACCAGAATAAATACTTTCAAACCTGGAAATTAACATCATCACCTAAAGGATCATCCTGCTAAAATCCAACCTCACAAAGCTAAGATATTCGTCATTGATCCAATCATACTTGTCCTTGAAAGGGTTACTTGTGTTCTCTGGAGGGTAACTTTCTTTGGAGTCCTTCCACACATTGGTATCAGACAAGTCCCTCATCACCTCCCAAACACAGTTGTTGCACAACCCAGCACCAAGACTAATCATCAGGATCCTATCACCCTTTTTCAGCCTCTTCTTCGCCTCCATGTAACCTAAAACGTACCAAAGGCCACCGGAAGAAGTGTTCCCCCAACGGTGAAGGGCCATCCTCGCAGGCTCTAGGTCATATTCAGTGAGCCTAAAACCTTTGCCAACCCCATCAATAACTGCCCTTCCTCCAGGATGCACACAGAAGTGCTCTATCCCTCTCTTGAAATTCAATCCCCCTCCCAACAGATTAACTTTTGTCACCTTCGTCTTGTTCTTGCCAGGTATCAGCGCAATGAAAAACGGTAGCATCTCCCTCTTCTTCATTACAGAGACAAAAAAGAACCTTACCATTTCCCACACTGGTAGAATCTTCGGTGCCATCACTTGAAGGTTCACCGTCAAGGCTTGAGCGGCACTCTTGACAAGACTCTTGGTGAGGCGATGACCCAAATACCCCTGCTCATCTTCCACGTGTATACAGCAGTTGTAAGCCTCGTCATCAGCACCGTACTGGGTCCTCTCCATGTGCTTCAGTTTTAATATCGAACGGCCCTTCAGAGAAGGCTTGTTTGTAAACATCACAGAGCAGCCACCAGAGCGAAAGAGGCAGTTAGAAAGCATCATTGTCCTGTCCGTTCCACTGTACCAATGTGCACCAAGATCTTCAGTGCTCACAACTATCCCAACAGAGTTCTTGTGAATCTTGAAGAGTTGCTGCACCACATCAATAGCGACGACACTTGCACTACAACCCATTCCTGCAAGATTGAATGTTTTGACGTTTTCTTTCATTTTGTACCTGTTTATGATCCGTGCTGAGAGAGAAGGTGCCGGCGAGAACAAGGACACGTTCACTACGAGGATGTCTATTTCGGAGGGTCAAATTCCCGTTTTCTTGAAGAGGTTGTCGAGTGTGTCGAACATGATCTCGTCTATTTCCTCGTCCATGTCCTTAAGAGATGGACACTCCTCTCTCCCTTCAAGAATGGTTCTTGGGCAGTAAGTGTTCTCTCCAATCCCCGAACTGACAATGGTTTTGAGGAGAAACCTCAACTCCTCCAACCTCAGCCTTCTGTTTCGTAGGACGATCTTTGAGGCGGAGTCAGTGTTGAGTTTGGTGTCTTCTGGAGGCATAAAGCACTCGTAGGCCAACATGTAACATGATTGGCCTCTACGTTGAAGAATCAACTTGAAAAGTGAAAAGAAAGAGTATAATAAGAAGGGAAGGAGAAATAAGAACAAAAAGATTCATGTCTAGCTGATACCTAAGAAAGCAGTGATGTTTGTAATTGTGACGAGGATATATGTTTGTAATTGTGAATGTTACAAATGCAAATGCATGAGTATTATATATATATATTATATATAATATATATATATTATATATAATATATATTATATATATTATTTAATAACTCACCACACACCCGTCCCAAAAAGATGTTTTGGGAATTGAGCCTCCACCTTTCAAGGAAATCCCACTTTAACTGCAAAACAATATTGAAATTTAATAATATTT